GCCCACTGCGGGGCTTGAACCCACAAACTGCAAGATCATGACCTGAGCCAAAACCCAAGAGTTGCCCAGGCTCCCCAGAATCATAAGGTTAATTAATCTAGTGTAAGGGCTAAATTCAATGGATTTTGAAAGTGGTTGGAGTCAGGTGAAGTTTGTAATGGTCCCTGCCCTTTAGAGCATTATTATTGTGTAACTGGTGTATCACTCAGCAATTACATTCAACTACAAATAAGAGACTCCCCCATATAGTGGCCTAAACACATAGGGATTTATTCCCTCATATATACATGGCCCAGAGTTGGGCAGTTCAGAGCTAGTCTGGTGTCTCCATGCATCGAGTACCCAGGTTCATGTCTTTCTGTTGCACCACCTTCAGCAAGTGACTTCACTCTCATGCTGACTTCGGGCTTGCAATTGGAACAAAAGTGGTTGAATAAAAGGCCTCTTGCAGCTGAGTCAACTTTCCTTTTTGGAAGTTTTCCAAGAGATTCCACAGTCCCTTTTCTTTAAATCTTATTAGAAACAATTCTGTGTTTAAAGCTAGATGCTAAGGAAGTGGAGAAATTTGTCTTTTATTATAGGATGGCAATCAAGGTTCTATTTTTTTTTTTTTTGGCCTTTTTTGGATAAAATATTCTGTTGACTTTTAATTTCATCTGTTATTGATGAATTGCCTATATTTTTAATATTAGTAGTTCTCTATAGTTTATATATCTTAACTCTTCATGGACTACCTTCAAGTAACATTATACTATCTCACATATATAAGAACATTACAGTACTATTACTTCCACTGTACATGTTATAAACCCCATGTATTAGGGTTCTCCAGAGAAGTGGAAACCCCATGTATTAAGGTTCTTATTTTTATGTATCTTATTTGTATATAAGGAGATTTATTAGAAGGAAGTAGCTGTCATGAATTTAGAGACTGAGAAGTCTGAAGATCTGTAGTCAGCAAGCTCTGGACCCAGGAGAGCTGATGTTCCAGTTCCAGTTCAAGTCCTAAGGCTGAGAAATAGGAAAGCTGATAATGTAATTTCCAGTTCAAGTCCAAAGTCAGGAGAAGACTTATATCCCAGCTCAAAGACAGGCAAGCAGGCAGAGAGAGAGAGAGGGAGAGAAAGTTTGATACACAAAACTAACAATCACACCCTCCATACAATTTTATTATTTTTTTCTTTAAACCTTCTTTTATCTTCTAAGAAGTTGTGTAACTAGATTTCCATCTGGTATTATTTACTTCTGCGTGTTCTTTTAACACTTTTTGTGGTACTGGTCTGCTGTCTGAATTCTTTTATTTTCTGAAAGCTATTAAGATTTTTCTTTATCTCTGATTTTCATGAATTTGATGATATGCTTTGGTGTGGTTTTCCTCATATTCCTTCTCTTTGAGGTTCATTGAAACTAACGTGTCTGCATTTGTAACTTTGTATCAACTTTGGGAAAATTGTAGCCTTTATTTTTCAACTATTTCTTGTCTGCCTTCTCTCCCCTTTTTTCTGAGTCAATTAAACATGTATTATGTTGCTTGATATTCATATCCCACAACTCAGGCTATTTTGAGGGGATTGACAAGGAGTATTTTTTTCTCTTTGTATTTCATTTTGTATAGCTTTCTATTCTATTTTAAAGCTCACATTTTTCCCCCTGCAATTTGTAATCTCCTGTCAGTCCCACCTTTTGTGTTTTTCAGTTTAGAAATTGTACTTTTCGGGGCACCTGGGTGGCTTAGTTGGTTAAGCATCTGACTCTTGATTTTGGCACAGGTCATGACCTCATGGTTCATGGGGTCAAGCCCCACGTCAGCAGAAGCCTGCTTGGGATTCTTTCCCTCTCCCTCTCTCCCTGCCCCTCCCCTGCTTGTGCACATATGCATGTGCACGCTGTCTCTCTCTCAAAATAAATAAACATTAAAAAAAATTGTACTTTTCATCTGTAGAAGTTTGATTTGGATCTTGAGCTTTTCTTATTGTGTTCTCCTTCTACCTCCTTGAGTATATTTATTACAGCAGTTTTATCATCCTTGAGGTATAATCTTGTTATCTAACACTTCTGCACTATTTCTATTGATTATTTTCTTCAGTATAAATTGTATTTTCCTGCTTCTTTGCTTCCAGGTAATTTTTATTGGATACTAGATTTTGTGACTTTACATAGTTGGACACTGGACTTTTTGTATTCCTTTAAATATTTTTTGGCTTTAGTCTGGTACCAAGTTCCTTGGAGTTGGTTTGTCCCTTTTAATCTAATCATTATTAGAGTGGTTCCAGAACAGCCTTTAGTTTAGGGCTAGTATCCTTACTACTGAACCAATACCCTAATGATTCCACTTGATACCCTATCTGTTAGGACGGCTCTCCACTCTGGCTGGCTCAGTGTAATCTTTGAGGATGTTCTACCTATTCCTTTCTGGTATTTCTTAACTTGGATACCGTAGTTTAATCACACACCTGCATAAATAGTACTCAGCCAGAAATTTGAGAGGACTCCTCTGTAGCTCCCTTCCTGGAAAATTCATACTCCTTGCTTCCAAACTCTGTTTCCTCAACTAAGCAGGACTAATGGACTTTGGGTACTTCCTTCCAGCACTGAGACCTGAAAGTCCCAGGCCGTATGCTTAGGCATTTGCAGAGTTTTTCTCATAAGGATCACCGTCTTGTGCTGCTTATTGTCCAATGTCTAAAAACTATTGCTTAGCATATTCTCTTCATTGTTCTAATTAATCAAGGCAAGAGAGTAACCCTGGTCCCTCTTATTCCATTATGTCCTGAAGAAGTCTTAACCATTATTCCTCTCTGTTACAACTACTGGAGGAATCTATCTTGACAAGAGAGGAAGAGACAAAACGTTTAATTTGAAAGTTTGTGACATATCTTTCCCCACCCTAGCCTATTGAAAATAATTCAAAGGGTGCCTGGGTGGCTCAGTTGGTTAAGCATCTGACTTCAGCTCAGGTCATGATCTCACGGTTTATGAGTTTAAGCCCTGCATTGGGCTCTCTGCTGTCAGCATGGAGCCCACTTTGGATCCTCTGTCCCCTTCTCTTTCTGCAACCCCCAACTGTGCTGTCTCTGTCTCTCTGCAAATAAATAAACTTAAAAAAAAAATTAAAAAAATTGAGGGACATCTGACTAGCTTAGTCATAGAGCATGCAACTCTTCAACCTCAGGGTTGTGAGTTCAAACCCCACATTGGGCATGGAGCCTTCTTAAAAAACATTTTTAAATAAAATAAATGAATGAATAATTAAAAAAACATTTTAAAGGGGCGCCTGGGTGGCTGATGGGATAGCGATCGACTTCAGCGGATCACCCGTCTTGCGGTCCACCGAGGCAGCGTCAAGCAGGCTGATGGCTCAGAGCCTGGAGCCTGTTTTCGATTGTGTCTCCCTCTCTCTGCCCCTCCCCGTTCATGCTCTGTCTCTCAATGTAAAAAATAAATAAGCGTTGAAAAAAAAAATTTACTTTAAAACCTGACTCCTCCATAGAGCCTGGGTAGGCGCCAGTCGGTTAACAACTTCAGCCAGGTCACGATCTCGCCGTCCGTGAGTTCGAGCCCAGCGTCGAGGCTCTAAGGGCTGATGGCCGAGCCCTAGATATTTCGATTACTGTGTCTCCCTCTCTCTCTGCCCCTCCCCTGTTCATGCTCTGTCTCTCTCTGTCCCCAAAATAAATAAACGTTGGAAAAAAAAAATTTTTTTTTAAAATAAAAAAAAATAAAAACCTGACTCCTCAAATTGGACATTATTATGATATATTTGGATATTTGGTAATATTTAAATATTTCTTTTGCTTAGTCATGTATGTAAGTCACCTACTCTGTGAAGTAGGTGAAGCCATTAATTTTAAAGCCAAAATATAGTATATGCAAGTGATTAAGTGATTATCAAATTTGTAGTTACAATGTTATCTTAAAACTCTGAAGTAGAAACCAATTTGTTATAAAAGTATACCTGCACTTACCATATGACCCAAGAATTCCATTGCTAGGTATTTACCCAAGAGAAATGAAAGCAGATACCCACACAAAGACTTGAAGTGAATATTTATAGTAGCTTTATCCATAGGCCCTCAACTGGAAATAATCTAAATGCTTATCCACATGGATAAATAGAACACTACTGACCAGTTAAAAGGAATACATTACTAGTATGCAGAATAACATGGATGAGTTTCAAAAGTATGCTCAGTAAAAGAAGCCAGAACAAAATAATCTATATGAAATTCTTTAAAAGGCAACCAGCTAATGTACAGAGATAGGAATAGAGATATGATTGCCTAAGGTGGGTAAGTGTTGAGTGCAAAGGGGACATAAGGAAACTTTGTAGAATGATGGGACTGTTTTGTATCTTGATTGATATGTTGGTTGCACAGGTATATATACATTTGGGTTGTTTTTTTCTTTTAAGTTTTTATTTATTTTGAGAGAGAGAGAGAGAACATGAGCAGGGGAGCAGCACAGAGAGAGAGGGAGAGAGAGAATCCCAAGCAGGCTCTGCACTGTCAGCACAGAGCCTGATGCAGGGCTCAAACCCATGAACCGTAAGATCATGACTGGAGCTGAAACCAAGAGTAGGATGCTTGTTGACTGAGCCACCCAGGTGCTCCTATATACATTTGTTAAAACTCGCCAAACTCTGTTCTTGAAAATATGTTCAGTCATTTTATTGTATGAAAATTATACCTCAAAAAATTGACTAAAAAAACCCCTGGTAAGTGAGCTTAATCACTTAACTTAGAAATATTGTCTGAAATCTGACATATTTAAATAATTATAAACATGTATACATAGAACATAAAATAACATTTATATAATAAATATTAGCAACTTGGATTCTAATGCTTTTCTAAAATGCAGAGTTTTCAACCTTTTACTTCTTTAAGGTATGAAATGAAAAGGTTAGGTTAGAAATTCTTTGTATTTGGCTATAAAAAGGAAGAAGTTAATACATTTAAAAGTTAATCTTTTAAAATTGACTTAAAACCTTTTTTTTCCAGAAATCTTCCTGCCAAATCTGTGGAAGAAGCTTTACGTCACCGACAAGAATATGATGAAATGGTGGCTGAGGCTAAAAAACGAGGTATAAATTTAACTCCAATCGGTGTATTTAATTTACTGATGTCAGTAGGAAGCTAACCTGTTGGTTAATTTCAACAGGAAGGTGGATGATGAGATTGATCAAATTCATCTTTTTTTATTTTATTTTAAAATTTTTTTTTAACGTTTATTTATTTTTGAGACAGAGAGAGACAGAGCATGAACAGGGGAGGGGCAGAGAGAGAGGGAGACACAGAATCTGAAACAGGCTCCAGGCTCTGAGCAGTCAGCACAGAGCCCGACACAGAGCTCGAACTCACGGACCACGAGATCGTGACCTGAGCCGAAGTCGGACGCTTAACCGACTGAACCACCCAGGCGCCCCCAAATTCATCTTTAAGATAATGCTGTTTTCTTATTTTTCTAACTAAATCTGTTCTCAAAAATGTCTTACTTTTCTGCCAGTACTTTAACTGAGGAGAAAGGCAGCAGACTATCTATGAGGGTTCTTGGACAACTATTATTTTAACTTATGAATGGCAATGATATGAATTTATTTCATGAAATTCACTTCTTTTATAGTTTTTAAGCTTTTGGTATTTTATAATTTAATAATTGTAACACCTTCCTGTATGACTTTGAGAATATGATTTGAAATTAGAATTTGCTTTTGTGACTTAATGTAGTCTTTCTAGAATCCCAATTGTGTCATTTGGACAGGCACATGAATGTATACTGTGGTGTATAAATTCACACCTTTGGGGCATGCGGGTGGCTCATTCGGTTGCGCTTCCGACTTAAGCTCCGGGCATGATCTCACAGTTTGTGGGTTGGAGCCCTGCCTCAGGCTCTGTGCTGACAGCTCAGAGCTTGGAGCCTGCTTCGGATTCTGTGTCTCCCTCTCTCTCTGCCCTTCCCCGCTCGTGCTCTGTCTCTGTCTCTCAAAAATAAATAAAAATGTTTAAAAAAATTAAAAATAAATTCACACCTTTATTTATTCATTCTCTCCTCCAGCCAAAAAGTAGAACATAAGGATAATTTAACAGTATTTATTTGCTAAGCACTGTTAGTTCAGGGTACATTTTTAGAAAAGATATTATACAGCCATAAGTATTTTTAGAAATGTGCCTTTTAGCAGCTGATTTTTTTCTTTGACCTTAAGTTAATGGAATACTATAATATACTGTAATAGGATACAGTTCTATTTAATGGCACTATTTTGGAAATGAGGTTAATTTTTTAATGTTATAAGAAACCTATAAGGCAGTTATATCTTTGTAAAAGCCCTAATCATTTATACATTGGATAAATTTATTTTATTTGAAATATTCCTAACATACCCAACACATTTTAATTGACTCTGAACTTTGACCTTACTAGTTGATTAATATTTAAGAGAGTTATTGATAAATACACAATCCTACAATGTGATATGGTAGAAATAACATTAAATTGAGAAATCAGAGGGTAACAGCTTTAATCCTATTTGATACTACTTGGATATGATGGTAAATAAACCTAATGTTAGTTTCCTCAAATCTGTGAAGTGTGGGATTCAGGTTGACTGGATTTAGGCTTTCAAGTGTTCTGTCCACACTTTTGTTTTAAAAGCAGTGAAACTCTCTCCAAAGAAAAGTTATATAGAATATGAATGCATATGACAAGGTAAAGAAAGTAGAGCTGGTTACTTGGCCTCCCACTTGCCCCTTAAGATGATTTCTGAGGCGTTTGTGAAACAAAATTAGTAAACATTTTGGCTAGCTGATCTCTGAAGTCCCCACTGGTTCTAAAATTATATATAACTATAAACAAATAAATATACAAAACATTATATATAATTATTATATTAATATGCTCATATATTAATATAGTATATATAATATGCTAAAACATACATTATATATTAACATGACATGTTATATATAATTTTATAAAATTATAATTGTAATATATAACATAGTAAAGTATATACATAATTTATAATTTTTTAAAATGTTTTTTTTATTTTTGAGAGATAGTGTGTGAGCAGGGGAGGGGCAGAGTGAGAGGGAGACACAGAATCCCAAGCAGGGTCCAGGTTCCAAGCTGTCAGCACAGAGCCTCATGGGGGGCCTGAACCTACAAACTGCGAGATCATGACCTGAGCCAAAGTCAGATGCTCAACTGAGTCACCCAGGTTCCCCTACATAATTATCTTATATATTTTATGTACCACTTCTTTTTTTGAGCCATCTCTTGTTTCAGAATTATGACTTCTGACTTTCAGAGGGGTGTTGTATATGTGTATATATTAGGGTTTTTTAATTTCAATCTAATTAGTAAAGCAAGACATCATGCTAGACAGGGTTAAGTGTAATAATGTCACTGGCAGAATTATTTTTTAATGTCATGTGCTTTTATCTAAGGAAATTCATAAATCCCTTCCTTATATGAAAAAAAGGGTATTGGTTAATTGCTCACAGTTGTTTAGGCTTTACATAGTTAATTCATGACAAATTTCGGTTTGTTTATTAAGTATAAATAGAATATGTGATATAGTAATCTATTTTTCTGACCCTTTGTTCTGTTTACTTTAAAAAAATTTTTTTTGCATTTATTTATTTTTGAGAGACAGAGACAGAGCACGAGTAGGGGAGGGGGCAAAGAGAAGGAGACACAGAATCTGAGGCAGGCTCCAGGCTCCAGGCTCCAGGCTCCGAGTTGATAGCACAGAGCCCGACGCGGGGCTCAAACTCACAAACAGTGAGATCATGACCTGAGCCGAAGTTGGATGCCCAACCAACTGAGCCACCCAGGCGCCCTGAGTTCCATTTACTTTTTTAGAAGAGGAGATGTAGGGGCACCTGGGTGGCTCAGTCAGAAGAGCATGTGACTTGATCTTGTGGTTATGAGTTTGAGGCCCACATTGGGTACAGAGATTACTAAAAATGAAAACAATAAGCTAAAAAAGAAACAAACTTAGAATAGGAGGTTTTACTTTAAAATTACATTAATCAAGTTTATTTTCTTTCTATTTTTCCCCTGCTTCGTTTCTTCCCTCTTTCCCCTTCTTCCTTCCCTCCTTTCTTCTTTCCTTCTTGTTATCAGAATATTCTTTATGAGAAAGCTTATATTTTAGACTTAGGTAGAAGGAAAAGGGCATCATGATCTAGCTTTTTTGTATTGAAATAATTTTTACTTGTTTAAAACAGAAATTAAAGAAGCCTATAAAAGGAAAAAAATAATGAAAGAACGATTTAAACAGGAAGAAAATATCGCAAGTGCAATGGTAATTTGGATCAATGAAATACTGCCCAATTGGGAAGTAATGTAAGTAAGCAGACTTTTCCTCAATTCAAGTCTGTCTCCAAAGATCTCATGTTTCTAGTTCTCTATTTTTAGTATTTCCAACATGTGTCTTATGCTTTGGCTAAATTATACCTTTAATTTTATACATCCCTCAGTCTCTTAATACCTACTTCCCTTACTGACCACCCTTTCTATACCTGTCAGAATCTTACCTTTCCTTTGAGGATATTCATCTGAAATGCTAGTTGATCCATGAAAATTTAATTTCCTCAGTTATCATATTTTCTTAATTTTAACATATCTGCTGCAAGGTGCATTATTGATGTAATAGCAGGTTTTGCAAAGAAAATACTAAATCTGTAATTCATTGTAAGATGCATTTGTTAAATGTTAAATATTAAAGTGATTTTTAATACACCTCTCTCATAATCATAAATACGCTATATATGATCTTTCCCTTTTCTAATGTCCCATTATACTTTGAGGCTAATATACTTCTTGCTTTACTTTGCCTTTTATTTTCCGATAATATTTTTGTACATGCCTTATATTCCCTCTAGACTGGAGGGTAGGAGATGTGTTCTGCAGTGTAGGATACGCATTGGGAATTTGTTGAATATTGATACATTGTGACAGGTATCAAATTAGGCTCTTTACAGAAGTAATCACATTTGATTCTTACAACCTTTACTCCCATTTATCTTATAGAGAAGCTCAAGGTTAGGTTAAGTGATTTGCCCAAGGTTATACAATTAATGAATAGTTAAACCAGATTTGAACTCCCGTCCATCTGACTCTAAAGCCCACACTCTTTCAGCAGACACACTGCCTCTCAAAGACAAGGGCCTTACCCATAATAAATACCTTGTGATTTTTTTTTTTTGGTACTGAGTTGACAGAAGATTTTTATGTTCCTTTTATCCTGTTTTTCATGACTGTCCACCTATTTCTGATTCTCTCATTGTACCCTATAAGTGGCAGCTGTAGAAGGCAGCTCCCTTTAAATTACTATTGTCCTTCTGTAGGGTACCATATATTTTCTAGACTTCTGTTGCCTACAAGCATGAACCTCACGGAAAGAATGCATCACATGCTTAACTATGTTCTTAAAAATCATTCAGTCACTTGGCCATAGACTAGCTAAACCATCATGCAACTAGTGTTTTTGGTATAAAAAGTAACTGTGTCCTTTTTTCTCCCCCTTTAATTCTAGGCGTAGTACAAGAAGAGTTCGAGAATTGTGGTGGCAGGGATTGCCCCCTAGTGTTCGTGGGAAAGTTTGGAGTCTAGCTGTAGGAAATGAACTAAATATCACTCCTGGTTTGTATTCTATATTCAGTTACTCCCACACATGAAAACAGCCATCTCCAGAATTATAAAACAGATTAATAGACTGGCCATTTAAAAAGGCATTATCATATATAATGTCATTTTAGAGCATGTTTCATTCCCACTCTCTCCAAAACCTGGTATGATTTAATGAGTAAGTTATTATATAAATAAGGTTTGTGGGTTTTCCTTTAGTTTACAACCATCAGTAATATTTTGGACATCCAGATATTTTCACTGCAGGTAACTTCTAGGATTCTAGGTAGCGGTGGATATAGAAGTATATACAAAGAAAAATAGTGTAATTGTGGAAAGGTTTCCCTTTATTAAAAAATATATATATATAGATAGAAGCCTAGAAATTTCTTTTCCTACATCTCTACCCAAACCAGTCCTTTTGGATTTTTTTATTTGAAAATTTCCAAATTAAAAAAACAAAATAAGACTCGCAAGGAAATGTTTTATTTTCTTATGTTTCTTAAAACCTTAAAGGATAGAAGTAAAAGGTAAAGTGGTTTCGATGCAGTAAAAAATATAAAATTAGGATAATATCAAATAGAGGAAAATGTTAAATAGTTAATAATAAAAGGTACTAAATAGGTCTGAGTGATAACATGGACAGTGGCACCATAGAAAGACTTGGGGGCTCTGGTATAATAACGGAAATAATATATTGTTACTGTTACTTTAAAATTTTTATATATCAATTTTTTTTAAGTCAAGTGATAGTAAGGTACAAACTGTATGCTTCTTCCCTCTCTTCTACCCAAACTCCTGCTTTTGATCCTATCAGATCTTTTTTCTGTGCTCGTAAAAAAAGTGTGCCTCAACATATAATTTTTTTTAAATTTTTTTTTCATTTATTTATTTTTTGAAAGACATAGAGCACAAGTTGGGGAGGGGCAGAGAGAGGAGTCACATAATCCGAAGCACGCTCCAGGCTCCGAGCTGTCAGCACAGAGCCCACCGCGGGACTCGAACTCACAAACCATGAGATCATGACCTGAGCCGAAGTCAGATGCTTAACCGACTGAGCCACCCAGGCACCCTGAAATATGATAATTTTTAAAGCTTCTCTTTTTCTTTTCTTTTTATTCCCACAAAAAGGAATTTATGCCATCAGTTTATTCTGTGGCTTATTTTTTTCACACTTTAATCTGTCTTGAGCACTATATATAAGTGTACCTTATACATACTGTAGCTGCACTGTAGTCCACAGTTTGGTTGTACTGTGACTTACTTAATCATTTTCTTAGTGATAGCCAAATCAATGACATGTATGTTAAAAGAGCAACCAAGGTACTGTTTCTTACCTCTCAAAAGTGATTAAAACGAATGAGAATAACCGACATAGGGGATGACTGATAATACTATAGAAACATGTATTAAAAGCCTCAAAAAATAACCTTTGACCTGTTTATTCTAGTTCTAAACAATAAGAACATTATCAGGATTGAGTGCAAAAGTTTTTCTACAATGATGCCCATTGTAGCAAATCAGTGTTGTATATATAATTGGACAGATTAATAACAAAAATCTAAATATTTATCTTTAGTCTTCAAAGTGATGCCAACTTTGAGTGGCATGATTGTGAATGATTTTTAGCATTGATTTTCACAAATATCCCATAATGAAGATGTTATTTTAACCAGACCTTTTTTTTTTTTTTTTAATTTAAAAATAGAATTTAAAGAAAGCATTAAGTGGGGTACCTGCTGGCTTAGTCAGTAGAGCATGCAACTCTTGATCTTGGGGTCATGAGTTCAAGCCCCACGTTGGGGATAGAGTTTACATTAACAATCAATCAATCAATCAATATTTTTTTAATTTAGCTTAGAAAAGGTTAGAGTCTACCTGACCTAACTGTTCCCCCCAAATAAAACAAAGGTTTGTTTTGCTCTCTGTGCTTGAAACAGATTAAAAGGAAATAATTTTACATTATTGTCAGAACTTTCAGTTAGATAATTAAAATACTTGATATTAAGGATTGTTGGACATATTATAATTGTTTAAAGTCTTAAGACTCGGTTTTGTATACAGTTGAGGTGATAAAGTATTGGTGGCTATTTGAAATTTGGTTTTCAGTTTTGTTGAGAACTTTGGCTTTAGAATGTTAAGTATCTGATAGCTTCTACATTAAAATATTGGCTAGGTGGTATTAAACTTTTGTGATACTGTAATCAAATTTGAAGTTCTTTTCTAAGCTCAAAATATAAAGTTAGTAACATAACTAGGTTATTTACTTTCAAAGTAATTTTAGATTTTCTCTACTAAATAATTATATATTCAGGAATAGAATAGGTAATCATTCTTTTTCTTTAGTGGTAGGAAGGAAGCTAAATTTCAATTGAAGTAAATTTACTTTTGATAACTTTGTTTACTTTAATGGCTCTAATAGTTTGAGTTTTTACCTGTTGCATTTGTTTTGATCATGAAATTTATAACCCCTGGAGAATAGTAAGTAAGAATAAAGGCTCTAAAGTCAGTCAGATGTGGTTCAAATCTTGGTTCCACTATATATTAGGTTTGTGACCTTGGGCAAATTATTTAACATCTAAGAGAATTAGTTTTCTTCATCTGTAAATGGAGGTAAGATTATTAACTATCTCAAAGGATTGTTCTAACAATTATTTGTGATAATGAAAAATATGAATATAAAATTACAGTGAAAGTGAATTTGCTGAGAGTATATGCAGACAGTATTATCATTGCCAGAAAATGAGAAAATTAAACATACACTGATCTCAAAGTATTCTCTATTCAAGTCCAATATACAACTGTAAGTCTGCTTCAGGTTCTACGTTTGTAGATTCAGAGTAACATAAATAAGACCTGTGGAGTCAGGCATGGAATTGAACTGACATACAGGTCTTCTTCTTATAGATAAGCACTCTAAGTCTTCCCTGTACAGATGTCCTTTGATGTTTTGAAATGCATTACCACATTTTTCTTATTGGATCAGTTTTGTGGCTTCCTTAGGTGATGATTTATTTGGTGAGCCTTTTTTCTTCCAAGATAGTTCTAAAGTTTAAGTAGAATAGTGAAACTGGACCTGGCTTGGAATCAGCTTGAAACCAGAAATTGTGGACTTCAGTTTGGTACCTGATAACTGCAAAAAAATTGTATATATAATTAAAAAATTATGTCTACCTCTTTAACCAAATTATTGATGGACTCAAATAATAGAAATTTAGACTTTTTATATTTAAAAAATTTTTTAAGTTTTATTATATTTTAGGTTTATTTAATTATTTTCGAGGTGGGGAGAAAGAGAAAGGGTGCATGAGGGGCAGAGACAAAGGGAGAGAAGGAGAATCCCAAGTAGGCTCTGCACCGTAAGTGGAGAGCCTGGTGTGGGGCTCGAACTCAAGAACTGTGAAATCATGTCCTGAACTGAAGTCGAGTCAGACGCTCAACTGATTGAGTCACCCAGGCACCTGACTTTTTTTTTTTTTTTTTT